ACTTGTTGAAGACCTCAAAGAATACGCAACCAGAGTTCAAGCATATTATAGAGTTTATCATTTTAGCTTTCTTTAAATCTCAAGATAGAATTTTCATTAATAACATGGGAGCTAATGTAGAATGTAAAGTAATCATGTCCTGTGTCACGCCTCACTCATGGGTAATGACCTGGTTAGCATAATATTTATAGAACTAAAAATATAAATTGTTCTATTATTTTGTTATACATTCACAATCACTTATGATACAAATCATATCATATCATACTCCCTTTAAAAGCACGAGTTCGGAAAATCTTTTTTAGACAAATATACCCCTTTATAGTTTGAACTACCTTATCTACAATCAAATTCTAATTTTTAATGGTTAATATTACCCTTCACTATTTTGAATATTTTATTTATATCTTAATCTATCCTAATCATAATCATATCTTATCCTAATCCTATGCGAACCATGTTTAGCTTAACAATTTAAAAAAACTAATATTAATAAAATATATAAAACATAAAAATGATATTAGTTTGTTAAGATAAAGAAAATTCAAGTAGATAACATATTATAATACATGAAGTATTGCAAAAAAATCATAAAAATTTTTAAAATTGCATAAAAGACCCTGAAAAGTTCAAAACTATAAAACTCATCCAAATGTATCAAAACATAAAATAAAAAACATGAAATTAAAAAATTAACATCAGTTTGCAAAGAATTTAAAATTTACAGTTAACACCTCAATGTCTTAAAAATTATAGAAACACCCTCAAAAGTTTAAATTACAGACAAGCACATTATAATTCTAAAATTTTAAAACTTACAAACAACACAGATGAATTCAAGAGATTACCATGATACACCTAAAATTTTTGATATTTAAATTTAAATTTTTTAATTAACACCCTCAATATCTCAAAAATTATAGAAACACATTTAAAAGTTCAAATTATAAAAAGCCACCCTAAAATTCTAAAATTTGTAAATAAAATAAGATGAATTCAAGATATTACCCTTAGACACCTAAAAAATTAAAATTTGCCAAAATTAACCTCAAAATTTTTAAAAAACTCCTTCAAAATTTAAAAATCGTAAAAAAAACTCTAAATTTTCAAAATTTTTAACTAGCACACATCAAATTCGTCGATTGGTAGACCGCTGAAATTTAATATTTTTCAAAATTAATATATAGTTTTAATAATTACAAAAGACACCCTCAAAACTTTAGAGTTACAAGAAATATACTAACATTTAAAAAATTACCACCAACACATGAAACATAGAATTTACAACTACCAAACTTAAAAGTAAATTTTTTAAAAAACTCTTTCAAAATTTTAAAAATTATAAATCACACCCTCAAAGTTCAAAACCACAAAAATGGGCTAAAATTTTAAAACTTGGCAAAGAAAAGTGTAATTGTTTGGTATTTTTCATATATATATATATTAAAATTTCTAATTTAGGGATTTACTATCCATTTTCAGCATCTAAGAATAGTCTAAGTTGATACTGGTAAACAAAAACAATAAGAATTGATTAAAAACATCCGGTTAATGGATAAAATTTTTAAAAATATTATAGATTAAAAATTATCGGCACTATATAAATTAAAGTAATTTCATATAATTTTAGTAATAAGTTGGGGTAGCCAAAATACATTCGTAACATTAATTGATAGATGTTTAAATCCATAGAAATGATAAAACACTATAATATTATACCTTAGCATTAATTGATTTTAATTTAGAAACTTTAATCTTTGACGTTAATAATATTTATAAGTATTGCAAAAAAATCATAAAAAGTTTTAAAATTGAATAAAAGACCCTGAAAAGTTCAAAACTATAAAACTCATCCAAATGTCTCAAAACATAAAATAAAAAACATGAAATTAAAAAATTAACATTAGTTTGCAAAGAATTTAAAATTTACAGTTAACACCTCAATGTCTCAAAAATTATAGAAACACCCTTAAAAGTTTAAATTACAGACAAGCACATTACAATTCTAAAATTTTAAAACTTACAAACAACACAGATAAATTCAAGAGATTACCATGATACACCTAAAATTTTTGACATTTAAATTTAAATTTTTTAATTAACACCCTCAATATCTCAAAAATTATAAAAACACCTTTAAAAGTTCAAATTATAAAAAGCCACCCTAAAATTCTAAAATTTGTAAATAAAATAAGATGAATTCAAGATATTACCCTTAGACACCTAAAAAATTAAAATTTGCCAAAATTAACCTCAAAATTTTTTAAAAACTCCTTCAAAATTTAAAAATCGTAAAAAAAATCTCTAAATTTTCAAAAAATTTAACTAGCACACATCAAATTCGTCGATTGGTAGACCGCTGAAATTTAATATTTTTCAAAATTAATCTATAATTTTAATAATTGCAAAAGATACCCTCAAAATTTTAGAGTTACAAGAAATATACTAACATTTAAAAATTTACCACCAACACATAAAACATAGAATTTACAACTACCAAACTTAAAATTAATTTTTTTTAAAAACTCTTTCAAAATTTTAAAAATTATAAATCACACCCTCAAAGTTCAAAACCACAAAAATGGGCTAAAATTTTAAAACTTGGCAAAGATAAGTGTAATTGTTTGGTATTTTTCATATATATATATATATTAAAATTTCTAATTTAGGGATTTACTATCCATTTTCAGCATCTAAGAATAGTCTAAGTTGATACTGGTAAAAAAACAATAAGAATTGATTAAAAACATCCAGTTAATGGATAAATTTTTTAAAAATATTAATATCTTATCCTAATCCTATGTGAACCATGATTAGCTTAACAATTTAAAAAAACTAATATTAATAAAATATATAAAACATAAAAATGATATTAGTTTGTTAAGATAAAGAAATTACAAGTAGATAACATATTATAATACATGAAGTATTGATAACTTTAAAAGAATTGAGTTATTTCCATTGCAAATGGGAAAGTGATGGAAATAAATCTAAAATTCAGAAAACGTCAATGAATCACTTGAATTGGCATTAACATAAGACATATCTATTAATGAAGCACTGAATGAGTTACATTAAAAAATAATTTAATAACTTTATCCTAATCAAAGAAAAAATCTCCATGGAAGACATAAGAAAAATTAGTAAGTATTCATAAATTCCATACTGTGTTCTTCAAATTAAATATTAATATTATAATCTAAGAGAAATTGGTAATGAATAATGCAGGTATTTAGTTTAGATCTTTATGGAAAATGACAGGGATAGAGCAAAGGTAATATTATTGAAATAACAGAAATTCTTATTGGATGCACATCAGAAGAATTCATTTTAGAGGAAAATAAAGAGATAGCTTCTAATTTATTTAAGTAATAAATTAGGAACACAAAGAATTTTATATATATGAAATTAATATTTATTCTCATTGAAATAGAAAAAAAATCAAAGTCTATATTTTGAGCAGTTTGTGTTGAACATCATAAGTACATTTGACTTCTTTGTAAAGTTAAATGAGATGATAAAAAATTAACGAGCCTAGGAAAGATAATAGCATAAAAAATACAAAATTAGCCTGATGTCACAATTGATGTAGATGATGAAGACAATACTCTAGAATTATCCGAGAAATGATAAATGATAAACCTGAAGAAGGATTGATCTTAACTCAATAAAAAATAAAATAGAAGAAATAAAAATAATATTTTATGAATATTTTATAGAATAGTTTAATTATTTTGAGTGAAATTAGGAATCTTTAGAAGGGAGTTTCATGAATTTTTTTCAGTACTTTTATATTCTTATGTGGATGTTTTTATCATATAAAAGTATACTAGAGTTAGCATTAATCTTTAATTTATATTTTTTTATGAAGTCTATCAATGATTAGGAATAAACTTCATATTCTCTTTTGCATCGTTTTAACATACTTTAAATCAATCATTTTGCCATATTGGTTTTAAATATTCACCTTCCTTGTATAACACTATTTTAATATTTTTCACTTTGCAATGTTATACTTTCTCAAATAAAGTTTAGTTTCATATCGGTCAAAAATAATATGAAAATTCAAATTATTTTTAAATTATATTTGTTTTTTGTTAATTCAAATATCAACATAAAAATTTAAATTGGGTGTATCCCATTTAAACAAACATAAAAAAATAATCGGGATGTAAGAGTTTAAAGAAAAAAATGAGCACAAACTGCCAAAAATACTTAATCATGGTATTAAATCACGTGCATTGCACGTGTGTAAAAACTAGTATACATAAAAGTACAGGTCTCATCATAATAACATCATTATCACAACAAATAACAAAGCGGAAACTAGAAAAAAAATGATCGAATATCCATAGCTCCTAGTCTACTAGATAGGTAAACTTCAATATCCAAAATAAGTATCAGCTCAAACACGGTCATCAAAAATAGATAAAATGTCTAAAAAGATATCTTGAAGTATCTACTGAAAATAAATAATTAAACTAAACATTGTTTATCAGAGCTATTGCATGGCATTGACTGCTTCCTCGTACCCTGCTTATTCAAATACGTTGCCTTGGCATGCTCTTGATGGGAGTAGTGTTTTAGGGAAACCCCTTCCCTTGAAGAATTTATTTCCTTCATTGTGTCCCTCAATACATGCCATGATCAAGTTATAATTTATGTTTCGGAGGTTGACCCTCAATACATGCCATAATCAAGTTATAATTATGTTTCGGAGGAAAGGCAACGAGGATAGAATGTTCTTATAGGGATAAGAGCTAAGTTTGGCTGGTTGACTTGGTTTGTTACAATAATGCGTTGACATTGGACAAGTGGAAGTTTTGTCATAGAATTTGGATGAAATAAGTTTTATGGCTACAGTAGGCAACTGACCCCACCATGGCTACTATGGCCACATCAGAGTCTACAGAAAATATACTTTCGAAAGAAAACGAATAAACGATACTTTACTTGACTTCAAAATTCTAGCTGGTACACAACGCCTTGCATTTTTCATGTATACCAAAATTGCATTTTAAAATTAATCATGACTATGCTGCCAAAATAATAGTAATAAAAAGAATGAAACCGTCAGTTTGAGGCTTTGAGCTCAGGTTTGATTCATTCATGATAATAATCAAACACAGAATGAGGATACAACAGAGAACCATCCTCCTTATAATGAAGCAGGAAATAGCACTTAATACAAAAGTAGCAAGGGTTCTTTTCGGCCCACTTGTCATCCACTGTCATCTTCGTCGCCTGAAAAATTTTACAGACTTCGCATTTTCTGTAACGGGGCTGGATTTGGAATGTTAGCAGCGGGTAGTCCGCCCCATTCTGTGCATCCTCAGGGTGGACCAATCTCATGTCTCTTACCACAATTGTATGCTTGCAATTACCCTGCGGGACAAAAATCATAGGTTGGATGATTTCATTCATATTCGAAGCAGACTTGTTTCTTTTCTTTTTTTAATTACCTCTCCGAATTTTAACTGGACTAGATATAACTCTATGTAAAGATCAAATTGACATGCAAATGTACTTTCGTTGCTCCATAACTAGCTATCTGAACAGGTATAATGTAGCTGTCTTGTGAAATTGACATGCAAATTTACTTTCATTGCTCCATAACTAGCTATCTGAACAGGTATAATGTAGCTGTCTTGTGAAGATGGTCTAGACAACTTGTTCTGAAAATGAACACACCTCAGGTGGCATGGTAATAGTGCAGATGGAATGGTACTTTGTAGTATATTTAGAAAAAGTTTATAATGAAAGAATGGCCCATTATCAGGAAAACCACTTAACTTAGAATTATTATCAGATAACCCCCGATAACTTTCAAAATATCAGAAAACTCCCTTTAAGTATGAAACAATAAAAAAAATTACACCCTAAGAATGAAAAAAAAAAAAAAATTCCCCCCCCCCCCCTCCCCCAAAAAAAAACAAAAAAAAAACAGAGCTCAACTAAAATTTTCACGTGAGTGGGTTAAGTAGAGAATATTTTTGCCAATGAAAGTTGTTATTAACACTGTTAGGGGAGATTTCTGATAAAATCTTTAAGTTAAAGGGGGATATCTGATAAACTCTAACTCAAGGAGGTTTTCTGATATTTTGAAAGTTGTGAGGAGTAATCTAATCATCGTCCAAGTTAAGGGGGTATTTCTCATGTTTGGCCTGAAAGAACATATAAATTTCGCACATATCAGCAAAACTTTTAACTTCTTGGAGGGGGAAGAAATAGTGTGATGTCTAGTTTGCTACAAAGATGAGCTGGTTAAAATCCATAGTGGCAAGTTGTTCAGCAGTGCTAGCACATCCTATACTTGCACATCCATAATCATTTTTCCATTTAAAATAACAGGAAGAGTCCAGACTCACCATAAGTTTTGTGGTCAATCATGACATTATAGAAAACGTTTAAAATGAGTAATGCTGTAAATAACCCCGTAGTACCAACACAACTCAAAAGGTAGCCTCACAAACGCCTCCTTTTTCTATATCAGATGTCATGTGAGTCATCGGGTAGGTTTCAAAGTGATGCCAGTAACTGTATTCCTTGAGTATATATGATAAGGTGTGTTAGGCAACTCAACAAAACCAGTTTAAGTGGATACAACCTTGGCCAAAAGCTAATTTTTAGCTTGGTAATAACTGGGCCAAAGTTGAACTAGTTTTCTTTAGTTCAAATTCTACCCTTAGCAGTGTTTGGGAATTCCATAATAAGATTGAATTTGAACTAGTTTTTTCCCAACTAGGTTAGAATTGGTCCATGCAAGGGTTGGTCCAAAAGAGAACTAGTTTAATGGCTAGAATTTAAACTGAAAAAATAGTTCATGTGGCCCAATTTTTGCCAAACTGAAAAGCAGTGTTTGGCATACCTGTACCCACCAAAACTAGTTCTTTGGAGTTACTAAACACAGACTCCCATGTTTGGCCTAGTTCAAGCAAAACTAGACTTTGCCTAGTTTCCTTTTCTAGTTGCCAAACAGAGCCTGTGTTTGGCAACTCGTTAGAAATTGGCCAAGTTTGGCCCCAGTACCGGTTCTGAACCGAACCATCTAAAGGCCCAAAATTGAACTAGAACAAAGTAGACCATTTCTGATCCATTTTTGACAATCAAGAAAACACTCTTTTAACTGGACCATGTTCAAACCTGGCCCAGTTTTAAAGTTGCATCTGACCCTTGGCATGCCATGTAAAATGAATTGAGATGTGAATTACCTGATGACAATAAAGGTAACCAGCACCCAGCCGAAATTGCAAGTCAGAAAAGCGTGTTTTGTGCATGTATACAGATTTGAAGTTAGGAAAATTTGAGGCATCCGCATGCCCTAGCAATTCCTTCTGCATTTTCTTCAATTCTCCTGACGTTATGACTTCCCACTTTTCAGTAGCCTCATTTTTGCTGTTCTTAAGCCAGTCAAATATAGGTAAACTATAATCAGTAGCAGAAGGATCTCGCAGGTCATTGCAAAAAGTATTCTGCAAGAGAAGAGAATTTATAAGAAGTAATGTCTTCAACATGAAATGGGCTCAATACTAATGGCTATATGGAGGCAAAGACAAGTATAAGGGCCATACTTCAATGAGGAAATATCCAGAAGGATCATGCTGTCCTGCTGTCTGCATTAATTTATCCGTCAAACAATAGATATTATCCCTCAAGTCAGAAAGAATCTGGCTTCCTAGAACTAAAAACTCCTGGGTCTGCATGAAACCATAGAAAATTCCAAAAGTGATTAAAGCACTTCTACTTGCAATATAATCAAATATACATATGTATAAGAATTTGTGTGGTTGCGTGTGTTTTTTCCCTCCGCATGATCGCTATAGTATCCACTATAATATCCAGTATGTAAAAAAGAAATATGAGTAATGGAAGTTAATGAGCTTTCTAATTTGATAGACATGGTTAACAAATACAAATGGGAAAAACAGAAGCTTAAGTTAGATGAGAAATTCATGGTTGATGCATGCATATAAACTTAGGCCGAGAAGTGGGCAATCACAGTCCAAAATCTATAAATTAAATACATCCGGAATTCAGTAACAGACATACATTACAATTCATAATTTGCTTCTCATCAAATGTCAAATAAACTATGCCTCAGAGTAAAAATCAAGTACCTGACAGTAGAGGATGGGGAATACCTAGTCCAAGGCAAAGAAATCCAGCAGTACTATGGGCGTCAAGAAAGCATTTACAACAACTAAGACGCGAGGCAAACAAATCCAAGAGGATATGTATGATGTGAAAACAAGTACTAGTCCAATTACGGCTTTTATTTGACAAGTAGATTTGGGAGTTCCACTATGTTACTACGCATCAGATATTGCACGTAATAGGAAAGCAATGAACATGATTGCTTAACATCAGCCTATATCTTGAACACGCCAAAATCCATCAGAGTAAAATGAATTGCTAACATTTGATCCTCTAACTTGGCTAGAAGAAACCATAGCAGTTTACCAAACTGTGAGAACTTGTGTAGCTCTGGAAGGCTATGAGTAGATATTTTTATTCATAAGGAACGCATTCTTATATCACTCACCTTTTTCTTGTTGTTTGAAGCTATTTGATTATATTAACTTGCCTGATAACTAGTAAACCTTGGGTGGCCTACACTCAAATCAACCTTCTTTATTATTGACCAATGAGCGACAATTCTGGAGGCGGTCAAATTGCACTTTAATAGCTCTATGTTGGCTCATGAAGAAAGGTAGGTATAAATTTTTTAGCAGGAACACTGCACTGGACAAGTACTAAAACCAGGAGTAGGCTAGTTGGAGAAGATATCTCTTCCTCTAATAAAATCGGTGGGTCTTTGGAGTGCACGTCATTTCGTAACTGCTTTAAAAGCATTTAGGCAGTGATTTCAGCTGCAACAATTCTCGCTTAGCACAAAGACTCCCAAGTATTATGCACAAAAGCATTGACAAATGCTAAAAATTTATGATTGGGTGGCACAATACACATCTTACATAATCAAACATATTGGGAAGATAATGAAGGGAGTACAGCAGAATAATCCCTTGCTCTGGAGGGGGATCCAGGGGTTTATTGTTTCATATCTAAGAGCTAATCTTGCAGATGGTAGCATATGTATTCCTTAAGAGGGTCTAGGCTGCGCCAACCAAAATAGGGGAAAATAGGCCAGAAATAAAACTATTTTCACAAGTAGATTATCAGCATCGGAAGAATATCATTACAGTTACCTGTCTTCTTAACGATGTAGACCAATGTAAAATATATTATCAAGAATGGAAAGTTAATAATATTGTAAAATTTTAATTTATTAATTAACCTCAGTCACTAAACTGTGATTAAGGGATGGACAAATTTAACCTGTCACCATTTACCCCAAGCATTCATCTATATGGCACAACCAAAGTTCAAGAAGGTAGACCAGTCTTTTAACCAGGCAAAACCCTCCGTGAGTGTATTGGAATGTGATGTTGCATACTCCTGATAAAGGAAGTGTCATAAGAGGACATCACAATAGAACCTAGAAGCTTCATTGGCAAGTACTTACATAGGTTATTGATAGCTCAAACCTCATGCAACCAATAAGCAATACATTGAATCTCCAAAAAGTAAGCAGACTATGGAAAATGAGAGATCAAGGAAAGAGGTCATATTTGAATGTATTACAGTCTGAGGCAAAATATGTTCTAGCCAAAATGGTGATAGAATTTATATATGGAATGCACTCATCTCTAGGGCAGAATGCAAGTTGAAGACTCAAATGCAAACATCTGGACATGGAAAGATTAATCTGCATATTACAGATAAACTCAGTCTAGAAATTATGTGCTAAAATCAAAAAATAATTCCCGACTTATATATTTCATGATTTTAAAGAACACCATGGAACGCGACCTCATTTAGTAATATGCAAAAAGTTTCCGCCACATAATTCACTGAGGAATGGATATACAGTAGTGACGGCATACAGAGTGATCCAGCTCACAATACATCTAAGGCTTAAGCACAATAACACGGATATGTAATGCAATATTACAAAGCACCTAGACCATGATTCCAGCAAAAGGAATATAGCAAATGGGTTACGATGTTAAGGTGTGGCTATCTTGGATGGGAAGTAAATGAGGATAGAAGGTAATATATCAAAGTCAACTTCAGGTTGATGAGTTGAGCTTGGCCAAAGAATCCTAACTTTTTCTCAGGCACCATGATGGTATCTTGATATCAAAGTTGCATATGCAATGTAGAACTTGTTTCACAAGCATGATACATTTATTAGCAGATTAAAAAGGAGATTAAGTAGAATGGTGATAATTGTAGTATTGTACATAACCTCGAGTTCTTCCCAGTGCGTCTCTACCCAGATGTTTAAAAGGAAACAATTTCAATGTCATAAGTTTCATGATATTATCTAAATGTACAAATAACGCAAAAGGTCCAGCATTCAATTTATTGACAAAGAAATTTGATACCTTTTTAGAACTAGTCTTATTGTGATAAATCTCCACGCACAGAACAACTTCAGGATAGCAGAGCGGAACATGTTCTTGTGAAGCAAAAGGCCTCCTCTGTGAAAACTAAAACATCATGTAAATATCTGGCTCGTGTAGAAAGCCATTTAAATTTCTTACAAGAACACAATAATAATTAACATAAAAAAACACATGCTGTATTAGTTAAATAAATAGAGAAACAACATACAATGATGGTCAATATCTACTGTGAATTATATCACCAAAAAATAATGCTCACATAAAGAATAGAAAAGAGAAGCTGAATTATGCAATTCTATCAAGAATAACATAATGCAGAAATTACGTAAGTCGTCAATAAAACAGAAAAGTAATTTTCTTGATGCAGTTGATCTGTATATTATGCAATTACTGTGAAATATTGTTAAATCACTTAAGTTATCACAAAAGAAACAAATCTAGTGTAACTTTACACATAAAAAATCAACAATAAGCCACGCCTATCACTGTAAGATAAATATTGAAAATAGCTCTGACCTTCACAGGCGTTGTAGTAAACCTAAGAGACCTCAACCTTTCAATTTTGTCTGACGTTGGAATTCCACCTTCAACGGATACAGAATCGCCACTGTACAAAATAATATATTGAATTTAATACATGCTACAAAGATATTTAGAAATTTATGGAGAGAGATAGGAGAGGGAAGATGGAGTAATCAGAAAAAAAAATGAGAGTTTTTTCATGAAGCTTTTTCAATAGTCTGATTGTAAACCAGGTCAAAGGAGTTCTAGTCACAAACTCTTCCAAAAAAATCAGGAGTCCGACAACATGTGACAAGCTGTGTTACCTGGGTACTTCTATTGGGAAGCCATACCCATACCCGACACGTGCTTGTACCCATACCAATACCCAAACACCATGGGCACTTCTTTAATGTATGCATATGTTTGTTCATGCATATACTCAATTATATAATGCATGTTTTAATTTAAAATACTCATGCACTTCTTAGACATATATTCTACACTTCACATCTCTTTTTATATATTGATCTTATGTAAATGAAAAAACAATACTGACCTTATGTAAATTATTAATCTTAACACAGATAATTATTTATAACATACATATATATAGCTATGTCCCTATACCCTACATTTTACAAATTTGTTGTTCTTGTACCCGTATCCATACAACTTAGCTGACAAGTTTTCAAGTCTGAATCAACTTGGAGATCATATTTCCATATCAGTGAAGATATCAAAGTAATAAAAGAGATTTAACTAGAACCTTTATTACATCTCTCTCATAATTTAATTGTGGATCCCAAAGTCTAAAACCTAAAAGTTTCTGTAAAGACCCCAAAGAAATACCGAGTGGCATAAATTAGCAAGTCGAGTACCCTTTTACATATATTTGGGGTTTCATTTTAGTCAACTAGTGCATTTTCATCACAAAAATAGTTGTCACTGTTGAAATATTAATAGGTTTAGGGGCTTATTTGTAAGTTGTAGGGGCCTATATAAGCCCATGTTATCTCATGAATAAGATTAGGGTTTCTATTTCAACTTGGTATCAGAGCCTCCACCCAAACCCTAGCCCTAGCCGCCGCCCCCCCAATCCCCATTCTCATCGGTGCCGACCCCCCACCCGCTGCACCTCATCCGTGCCACTCACCCCCTCCGGTCCCCACTCCTCCGGTTTCATCAGAGGGAATCTAAGCGATCCATCCCCCCTTTCGCTCTTAGATAGCCACCGCGCCCTTTGACCTAACCCCCACCTTCGATCAGAACCCCCTCGAAATCTTCTTAGTCCCCCTCTGAAACCCCCTCCTTCGGATCTTAACCCCTTTAATTCCGACAGCCTCCCCTCCCACCTTCCGATCAGACGCCGCCCCCACTCATTCGAATCAGCCCCCCTCAATTCCGATCACCCGCCCGTCCGTTGCATCCTGTCGAACCTCGAGTTTGGCATGGATTCCCTCGACTCAGTCCTCGAACTGATGACAGGAAGAGTATATATCTCACAGCGATGAGATATAAAACTGTTTTTGGTTCTTGTTTCCTCTGAGAAACAAGAATTTGTTTGAGATCCTACTCTTGTTGTGCAGCAGAGGTGCTGCCGAAATTTTTACTGCACACAACAAGGGTCGGAAGAGAAGGTGAACAGGTGGTGGGTCTGAAGCCTATTCGATGGAGGAGATCATCAAAAAGTTGAACCCCGCGGAGGTGTCAACTTTGATGAAGCTGATGAAGTTGTCGGCTGGTGAGAGCGCGACAAAACCATCGAAGAAGTTGGAGCTTCCGACCATCGATCTGAAGCTTGATGGACCGAGTACTTACCTGAGCTGGTCGCGACGGGTGAGATACACCCTTGCAGGGAGGAACCTGGAGGGTTACTTGACAGGAGAGGCGACAGAACCGGAGGAGGACTCAGAGGGAAGAGATGAGTGGAAGTCCACTCATATGTTGGTGTACATCTGGCTTCTCAACTCGTTGGTCCCGACGATCGCCGTCACGGTGGATGGCATTGAGAAGGTGAAGGACGTCTGGGAGAAGTTGAGGAGGACATATGATGGAGTGGGGAATAACCTGAGGGTATTCCAGATTAAAGAAGATATCGACGCCACAGTCCAGGAAGAGAGGACTGTACAGGAATATGCTACAGAGTTGGAGCGCCTGTGGCTGGATTATGATCATTTTTCCCCCCGGGCTAGCTGCAAGGACCCAGGATGTAAAGAGCGGGAGGCCTTTCTACAGGAGAGGACTATGGTGTTTCTCAAGGGATTGACATCAGAGTTCACTCAGCGAATCGCATTGCTACTAGCTCAGCCGAAGATTCCCACGCTTGAGGGGGCTGTCTCTGCTATGATCCAGGAGGAGACTCGCATTCGGCTGCAGGCGGAGACAGGTGGACTTCCTGTGGTGAAGTCAGCACTGGCAGTCTCTAGCAGTACTGGATCTAGGGGAGAGACTCGACAGTGCTACAACTGCGGTGCGGTGGGTCATCTAAGGTATGCTTGCACCAAACCACCCAAGGAAGAGGAAGAAGAAGCTGAGGTGGTCTTTACAGAGGAGGATCGTGCTCTCCTCACGATACTCAGGAAAAAACAGCAAATAGCAGGGGATGGAGATTTGAGGAGTGGGACTGAGGAGGCATCCACTTCGTTCTTCGCCAGAGGCAACACTGCTACCTATGCTCATCCGACCAAAGGTATTGATGACATGCATGCTCTTGCTTCTATGTCTCCCAACAGATCATCAGAGTGGATAGTCGACTCCGGTGCGTCTCGTCATGTGACAGGTAATGCTAATGAGTTCTCATCATATACTCACTTAGCATCGCCTGATAGTATTCAAACAGCTGATGGTACATTTCAGCCGGTGGTTGGTAAGGGTACAGTCGATTGTACTGGTTCTGTAACTTTGTCTAATATTTTGCATGCTCCTTCCTTTCCAGTCAATCTTTTATCCATTAGTTCTATCATCCTCCAACTAAAATATATTGTTTCTTTTGATATTCCCAAGGTGATCTTTCAGGAGAAGGGGACAGGACGGAGACTTGGGACTGGCACATGGCATAATGGACTGTGGTATCTGGATCGTGAATGGCTAGATTCAACTTTGGTGTCAATGGTAGAGAGAGCAGGAGTAGGATCTGAGATGAGTGCTGAGAGTGTGTTGATGCTTCATCACAAACGCTTGGGACATACTTCTTTCGGTGTTTTAAGTAGGTTGTATCCATCTTTATTTGAGAAAGTAAATAAAGAGAAACTTGTGTGTGATGCATGTAAGTTGGGAAAGCTTACTAGAAGCTCTTATGTTAGTTCTGATCATAGGAGTTCTCATGCATTTGATATGATACATTCAGATGTGTGGGGGCCATGTTCCACAAGTTCTATGAATGGATACAAGTATTTTGTTACCTTCATTGATTGTTTCTCTCGCGTTACTTGGTTATACCTGATGAAGAATAAGAGTTAAGTGTTTGGCTGCTTTCAAAACTTTCATAGGAATGTTCAGACTCAATATGGAGCAGTGGTGAAGGTATTGAGATCTGATAATGGGACAGAGTACACCAACAGAGTGTTTGGAGAATACTTGTCATCTCAGGGAATACAACACCAGACTACATGTCCATACACACCAGCTCAGAATGGGATAGCGGAAAGGAAGAACAGACATCTTTTAGAGGTTGCTAGAAGTATGATGATCTCCATGAATGTCCCAGAAACATTGTGGGGGCAAGCAGTGTTGACTGCAACGGCGCTGATCAACAGAATGCCCTCGAGAGTACTGGATTGGAAGTCTCCGTGTGAGACATTGAAAGGAGATAATGGTGGGATTCTTCCACTGAAGGTATTTGGCTATGTGTGCTTTGTGAAGGATAACAGACCATCCGTCGGGAAGCTTGCCCCTAGAACGGTGAAGTGCATTTTTGTGGGATATTCTGCTACTCAAAAGGGATATGTTTGCTGGAGCCCGATGGAGAAAAGGCTGTTCGTGAGCATGGATGTGTACTTTCGTGAATTTGAGCCATATTACACACAGAAGGTACCCTCATCCGTTGGTGACTCGCCCAATACTGGAAGTATGAGGCGAGAAGGGGAAAATAGTGAGAGGCAGATGAATAATGTAGAGAAATCGATTTCTCTAACGATTCCTTGGGAAGGAGAATTGATTGAGGAGGAGCAGGAGAATAAAGAAGAAGAGGATAAGGAGACAAGAGGTGTTAGGCCCACGGCTCAGGGAGAGCTACTTACCTATAGTAGGAAGGGGAAGCAAATTGCGGAAACAATACCTACAGTGCCACTAGTGTCAGGTCCCTTATCAACGCCTGTCCCGACTCCTGAGACACCTACACCACCATCAGATTCCTCCCAAGGTGATATCATTCCTCTCCTTACTCCTCCCACACCAATGTCAGTACGGAGGACTACTCGCAGCAATGCGGGACATCCTCCCGATAGATATGGTTGGGATCTTGCCCAGTTTGTATCATATTCTAATATCCACCCTACATATGGAGCATTCATTGCATCATTGGACTCTGTTACTGTACCTAACAATTGGCAGGTTGCTAAGAAGGACCCAAAGTGGAAAGCAGCTATGCATGAGGAGCTAGGAGCTCTTGAGAAGAACCGCACTTGGGAGTTAGTAAAATTACCAGAAGGGAAGAGAGCAGTTGGGTGCAAGTGGGTCTTCACTGTGAAGCAGAATCCAGATGGACAAGTTGAGCGCTACAAGGCTCGTCTGGAAGCAAAAGGGTATAGTCAGACATATGGCATCGATTATGATGAGACTTTTACACCGGTGGCGAAGATGAGCACTGTTCGGACCTTACTCTCTCTGGCAGTAAATGGTGGATGGAAGCTACACCAACTAGATGTGAAGAATGCATTTCTTCATGGAGATCTAGTGGAGGAGGTATACATGGATATACCACCAGGATTCGGTACAGATCAGACAGTGGGAAAGGTATGCAGATTGAAGAAGTCTCTCTATGGACTGAAGCAGTCTCCTAGTGCTTGGTTTGACAGATTCAGAAGGGCTATGATTGGTATGGGGTACCAACAGATCAACGCCGATCATACTGTGTTCTTTCGACGGAGTGGAGACCACATTACCATACTTGCGGTATATGTGGAT